AAACGTTAAGCCAAAGTGCCTGGGTCTCCGGCCCTCCATGAGAACGTAGGCCAATACTACTTCTGCTCTTTACTGGGGAAATGGTTTACTGCACCTTCACAAGTTGAGTTAGCTTTGTTTTCTACAAAGTGTAATCATGTGGAGCTGCCGGGCAGAAGCATCACCGATGCTATGTGTGCATTTAGCATCTGGCCTCATCTGAATGCAATATAACAAATTGTCTTGTCTTCTCAGTGTGTACTTTCTCCTCTATGTTCTAGGCTCAGAAGTCTGATTTTTATTTTATTTTTAATTATGTTGTCTACATATTAAATCAGTGAGCCTGGCTGCTGAGCAATTGCTTTTTAAAGAACTGACATGTAAAACTTGTATCATGATTTTAAATTTTCTTTTAAAATTATTATTGATTCTGAGAAGTGAAATAAAATGAACTCTTTCCCCCTGCCCCCCAAAAAAACTAAAGTGAAGTTTGTCAGTTTTAATACAGCACATCCCGCAAAGAAAAACTTTGGGATTGTATTCAGTTTGCTTTTTAACTGCCCCAAATTTCTATAGCATAACAGCCATGAGATTCCAGAAAATGATGCAGCTGCTTTGATGAGTCACAGACAGGTGCTGCTTTCACATTCCAGGGTATTGTGAAGTGCCTCTTCCAAATTGTATCTGAAGCACTGCACAGTAAGAAGGTCATGGAGATCCAGTGAACAGAATGACACATACATCTTCCTTCTGGAATTCAGAAGGAGCTGGCACTGATTATGGTGTGAACACTGCCTGGGCTATAAAATATACAATGGAGGTTATGCTTTCAGCATCCAAAAGATAAGGGAGTGGTATGTTCTCACTGATGAAATTATTTTAATTTGGGATTCGGTAAGCTGAAATGCCTGCAGTTAAAATTAAATCCATGCTTTTTTCTGTTGATGGCTTGACTTTCACAGCTTGTTGGGCAACTATGAAAAAGATATGTGCAACAATATTAAAAGCTATGCTTGAAAGACAGCCATGTTCAACCTATGAACCCCAAAGGGACTATATTTGCATGTGGAGATCCGCATGCTCAAGTATGGTCATCGGTCATGAGCTGCTTAATTCTATAAATAAATGATTAAGGGCACAATCGCACTCCTCTGAAACATGTTAGATCCCACCTCTTTCAACATATAGACAAAGTTTAATATGGCCTAATTTTTACCCAAGCGATTTTAAAAAATGAACAACCTTAACCTTTATTTCCACAAGTCTGGAATCACTCGTTCAAGAAAGCCCATTGCTTGAAGATGCTTTTGTGATCAGGTTTACCTGTTTAATCATCATTCATTTCACCCTTGCAATCAACCTAATACAACAGCACTCATAAAAGAGGCTGGGTTACAAGCTGCAACTGGAGGTGCACGTGTGTGTATTTTAGGATGGGCAGGGCTTCCTAGCCCAGGCTGACCGTGGCCAAAATAAGCATGGGGAGCGCTGTAGTATTTTGTAAAAAGTACAATGCTGATCTTTTTAAAGGCCCGTTTATCATTTAGGAGCATGGGGACAGCAGAGTAACTCACAGATGGCTTAAACCAGATTAGGTGTATGTAAAGTGGCTTAATTGGTTTCCGGAAGAAGGGGACTGGAGGTGGGAAGCTATATCTTCTACTGTAACAAATTGCCGTTCTAATTTTTCAGTAACCTGGCTTTGGAAACTTGCACTATCATTGGTTAATTGAGCTGGTCAAGATGTCTCTGTGCTGCCGAATCAAGTTTTGTTCTTTAGGGATTAGAAAGAATGCACTGATTAATGCACTGTTTACATATCTGGCTTGGTCACGCGGCTCCCCGTAGGTTTATGATGCTGTTAACTTCTGGACTGTGAAAGATACCACTTTGGGTCTTTCTCCAGGGTACACTGTGTTCTTTCTGAATACAAATCGACATCTGGAATCAGAATTACATCTTTCTTTGCTTAACCTGGCCAGCTGTGTTAGGGTTTTATACGAAGGGGTGGGGAGGGAAAGTTCAACTGCTAATAAGTCAGCACTGAAGAGATAGTTTGATAAACAGCCAACGGAGGGATTGCATCTGCAAATTTTGCAGGACTCAATTTCTAAATTTGGAGAGTAACGCAACACGCTTTTATTCCTGGAATGATTGCTCAGAAAGTAAACAGACAAAGAATTCTATGCTTGTCCCCATTCTTTCTTGCGCAATTCGTTTCTTCTGATTTTCCCACTGATTGTCTTTGGCAAATGTGGAACAAACTCCATCTATTGGGCAAGAACAGAAATGAGGGCTGGCAAAAGGGGAAGGACATGTTGGTACGTAAGGCTGGAATAAATTCAGAGGTTGCAAGATTGTGCAGAGTTGAAACAAGAACAAATACATATGATTCAGCTTTTCTCCTGGGATAACTGGCATTTGCTTGCATCTGTTAAAATAACCACCATGTTCCTAACTTGTACACCACTCAGATAATACCCTAAACCTTAATTTATACTAACCAAAGCGAAGAAACAGCTTGAAAACATGGCTTGCATTAGGCCATGTTCTAGTTTCCAAGTTATAGCCGAGCCCTGTTTTCAGGCTGTTTGGAAGCTTTTATTTATTTATTTGCATTCAACATTAAATAAGCAGAGCAAAAGAGTGAACATCTCAGTTCATCTATCAAACACTTGTCAATCTGTCATTATTATAATTTAGCATGACTTTAAACTGAGCCATTGCTACCTACCAAAGAAGCTACAATAACAGCTGAGCTGTGCTGATCGCTCTTGGCCCTTCTAAAGTATCCAGGTTTCTTCTATGCCTGCTCTAGAGATTTCAGAGGGACTGAAAAATTCCCTAAAGATCCTAGCATATTTTTTTTAATTGTTACCAATGCAGGGAAGTGTTGTGGAATTCCTGTAATTGGTTGAAATATGGTCTATATGGCGTTATCCATATATGCTTCACGAAGAGATTTGACAGATCCCTTCCCCTTAAGCCTAATAGCTTAAGAACAGACACAGTGGAGGTAGGAAAGAGAAAAAGGGAGAGAGTAAATAAAATAATATTTTAATGCCAGGGAAACACACCTTCAGACTCTGCTATAAGGCTGACATTACTAAGATTTTTTAAAAATCGAAGAAATTCCAGGCAAGAAGCCAAGATAGGAAGGTAAAGGGGGTGTCACATGGCCAAATCACAGCTTACCTTTCTAGGATATTTGTAGGGGGCAGTGACCATCTTGACATAGTCCTGTAGCTCCTTAATCAGTGCTTCTGGGTCATGGGAAGTGTATTCAGGTGCCAAAACTACAAAGGCTTTCACAACCTTGAACGTAAGAAATTTGATCAAGAGGATGAAATGTTGAAAAACTTGGGCAGATTATAAAACTAGGAATTTCTAATGGTACTGCAGTAGCTGAAAGTCACCAAATTAAGTGTCTTGGGCATCGTAGCTTGTACCTTCCAACGTTAAAAGCTTGAACTTCAAAAAAAATTCTGGAGAATGTTTCTTTTTTTATAGATGTTTACCTGCAGAAATCTAAAAAGAACCTATAAACACTGAAGCCTACACTGTTTTGATTTCTGCTTTCAATCTAGATCTTCTGCAGAGATTAAGAGAATTCTGAAAGGGGCCATTTTTGTGCTTTGATAAGGCATTCAGGTTATTTGTCGGCAAATCTTAATAAGGAACACTGAAAAAATTCCAGTTGCTGAGATCAAAAGATCAGAACCAGATAGGTGAGCATACACCCAAGCTGTGGTCACACAATACATTAAGCTATTGCCTGTTAACCATGATTTATTAAATAAATTAGAAATAGTGTGTTCACACAAGATAGTAGGCTACAGACGAGAGTTTGCAAACAGCTGGATTCGTGTAACATGCTGAGCCACAAAAAAAAAATACACTACTTTCCATCTTAGCATGTTGCATGAATCCAGGCATTCACATGCACAGTTCATGGTGCAAAACACCATTGCATTAGTATTAAACTAATGGCTTGTTTAAAGATGAACTTTGATGTGGCTGAAGAATAACTTTGCCTAAGATGGAGTTTCTGAGCACAAAGGAGCACTGGTGATCAGGAATCAACCTTACCTTAGTATCTCAATAGCTGAGCTTCACCTGTTTGAAAGATTCTGCAAACTTTTAGACTGCAGAATCCCCCACTGCAACACACAGTTCAGTTGCATGAGTTCAACTTTCTTTACCTCTCCTCGGGTAGGGTCTGGACTGCTAACTACCGCTGCTTCAACTACCGCGTCATGTTCTATCAAAGCGTTCTCCACTTCAAATGGCCCAATGCGATATCTTTGAAACAAAAGGAAAAGTTTAATCTACTTGGCCTGTGGTGAACACTTACAAGGAAAATGTTGTACGGTTGGGGCGCGTGTGAATTAACATTACCCGGAAGAATTGATGACATCATCTCCTCTCCCTATGAACCAGATGTAACCATCATCATCTTGAATTCCTCGGTCTCCAGTGATGTAGAAGTCCCCACGAACGGTTGAAGCTGTTCTTTCTAGATCATCCTGGATACGTGAGCAAGCATGTAGAAATGACATGAATCTGTCAACACTAGACAGTGGTGCAAGTACAGATAACTGTTTCAAATGAGATCACATACTTTAATGATGGTTGATAACAGTGGTTGATAAATACTCATATTATGCATTTACCATATCTAAGAGTACGCAGTTCCAAAATTCATGGTTGGGTAAATATTTTATGAATTGTCTGAAGTCACTGTCCAGCACTAAAGTCAATTTGTTCTGGCTTCTTTATTATAAAGAAGATGAGACTTCTACAAGAAATACTGAGGAAGTGAGTTGATTCATTTTTGTTGAACTGGGAAACATCCAAACGGCAAGAAGGGAACTTCTGAATAGTTAGGCAGGACTCTCTTCCAAAACAAGTAATCCAGAGAAGGCAAAATGGTGTCATCAGAACAGCC